TAGCAATTTGGGTAATAGAATAAATGTGAACACTTCAGAATAAGAAACAGATTTCATTCAGTCTTCTTTCTCCCATACCCAGTGCAGTCCCTAAAACCCACTAGGCGATACAAATGTTTGCCGACTGATGTTATTTTATTTTTCAAGGAACTATACAGAAAAAATACAACATTTAACGAATGTCATAGGGTGTACAGACAGTTGGGTAGTATACTTTAGTTTAATGCACAAATATGCTTCTTGAATCATTAACGTTTGCTAAATTCTTCCTGTAATCTAGGAACTATACACAATTCCTTGGACATTTTTAACATTTGTTATAGCAGGGGCTAGCAGGTGGCACGGTAGTTAAGGTGTTGGACTCCTACATGGCCAACCACAGTTCTATTCTAGACCCAGCATTTCAAAAGTCACAAAAGGGATGGGTGCATGCATGCCCCGCATCCCAGGAGGAGAAAGGAGAAGGGATTGCAACATGGCCATTTTACCTGGGGATGGTTCTTACTTTCCCTCTCACTGCCTCTCTTTCTCTCTCTCTCGTGAGCCAGTGCCCCTATGGCAAATACCTTATAAAGAAATCATCATAGCAATTCTATAATTTAAGTATTATTGGTATTAGAGAGGTTCAGAGATATTTAAATAACTGAGCCAAGATCACACAGCCGGTTGCTGTCAGTTCGTACACATCACCCATCTTCCATCCCTCTAAACCTATGCCCTTAACCACCGTGTATCAATATTTTAAAACTGCTCACCTAAAATAAACATATCCTTTGATCTCAAAATATTCTTTTTGGCAGAACAGCAAGTATACAGAAAATGTTAGTCTGTGTTCGCGGTTATTCAGTATTAATCAATTACCAGTCTCCAGATGCCTCGTTATTTAATTCCTGTGAGTTGATACATTGGTTGGATTTGTCATCTACCCACATTGAAACAAGTTCACTAAATATAGTCATTTACATGGAGAGCTTCACCTTAGCTCCAAGTTGCAGCTGGCCACCTGAATCATTCGTAGTATTTTTATTTGAAAATCCTGAAGCCTTAAAACATGACACCACAGCCTTCATAGTGATATTAATAAGAACAAGGAGGCAGGAGGCAATTCAGTAGATACTTAAATGGCAAAAAATATAGTGCAAGTTCCGCACACCCCTGCCGACTGCAGGTTTATATGATAATAAATAATAGTTATCACCAGGACAAAGGGAAAAAATGCCATGAAAACCAATAGCTCAGTGAGAAATTTGCTAATCCAGGTGGTCAGGCGCCTTCCATTTCATTGTCAAAGGGAGGCTACACATTTGCCTCTGGGTAGTTAAATTACAGAGTCATTTACTGCTGAACGTTTTCCAGTAGGCAGATATGAATCCAAGGCGTTAGGCTTCAGATTAAAAGTTTGTAAGAGAAGAAAAAAAAAAAAAAAGAAAAAGAATTTACTTTACACACAGCACAATTGATAAGGGAAAACCTTGGAGCACTCTCAAAAGTGACTTTAGACATTCCATTTGGAATCTCCTTAATGTGTACCTTGAGCATAAGCCAAAGGCCAAAAATGTCAGCCAAAATAAAAATGCAGTTTTGAAGCACTTTAAAATTCTCCCCCTTTGATAGCCTCACAAGTAGGTGAAATTCCAGTGATTAGTCAGGTGGGGCGGGCAGAGGGAGAAAAAGAACAGAGAGAAAAAGAGATTCCTTATGCACAAGAATGCCAGTAAACAGAGGAAAAAATTCATACTGGTTCCTTGATAGTTAAAAGAAAAAGAAAAAGAAAAAGAAAATCAATGCCAACTTTCTTTTTCTGTTATACAAGACAGTTGTGGGGTTTTTCTTTAGTTTTTTTTTGTCATAGGGAACATGGGTTCACCAAAGACAGAGACAGAAAGATAGAGAAAGTGAAATATCACTTTCTGGGGTGGATGGCCCTGCCACAATCCCTTCTCTTCCATTCCCCTCTCAGCATTTTGGGAACGTATGCACATGTACCTGGGGTGTTTTTCAAGCTAGTGGGTCCAAGATGGTAACCATGCAGTCAGTCATGTGCGATTCAGTATCTTAATCTCCATTTTAACTGCTGGTCTGATAGTTGTGAATTTTATACAACAATTATATATATATAAAACACATATATATATTGTATAAAATGTTTTATATATATGATATATATGTCACATATATATATCACATAATATATATATATTCCGAGAACATTTGAAACAATGGCAATTATCCATATACATTCCATTATTTCTAAACCGTTATCAAAATTTGAGACTTTACCAATAGTATATATCAAGGATATTCCAATAACAATTTTTTTCTTAAGTATTTTTATAAACTTTTTTTTGCCAATAGGTATGATTGCTTTCAGTTCACATTCAAGTTTTATATTTGGCATCTATTTAACATTATGTTCTATCATTTTTTCCTACATACAGGAAGTCGCTACTTGTTTTTTTTCTTTTTTTGGAGAGGTTTTTGCTATAGGGCGTGTGCGCTCACTAGAGAGAGACAGAGAGACAGAAAGTGAGAAATCACCCCCCAAGGGGGATGGCCACACCACAATCCCTTCTCCTTCTCCTTTCGGGATCTTGGGCATGCATGCATGGGTGCCTGGCGTGAGTTTTAAGCGACCGAATCCAGGATGCGAGCCACGGTCGACTACGTGGGAGTCCAGTGACATAGCCATTATGCTAACTGCTGGTCCCTTGCCAAGTAACTTTTAAACTAAGACATGTATGTAATTTCCTTATTAATTAAAATATTAACTTAATCGACCATAGTTCATGGTCAAATCAAATGCTTCCAGGCATAATCCTGATGAGAAATACATTACAGACCTGAGATCATTCAAATGATAACTTATAGCCCCTTCGGTGACAATTAATATGTCACAAAGGATGATGAGTCCACCAAAATAACCTAGATGGGAAATGACTTGCAGCAGAAGGCTAACAGGTACCAGCTCTTCAGCATGCTAGATGACACCTAATGAGGAAGGGAATCAAATATCCCTCTTCTAGTTATCTGAAGTTGAAATAGTAAAAACTGTCATTAGAGAATATAATTCTTTTTAAAAAATTTTTTGAGAGGTTTTTGCTATAGAGCGCGTGCGCTCGCCAGGAAGACAGAGAGACAGAGAGACAGGTAGTACAGAGAGACAGAAATCACTCCCCAGGGAGGATGGCCATGCCACAGTTCCCTCTCCTCCATTCTCCTCTCGGGATTTTGGGTATGCATGCACACGTGCCTGGCTGAGTTCAAACCACTGGGTCCAAGACTTGAACCGTGGTGGACTACAAGGGAGTCTAGCGACATGACCATTACGCCAACTGCTGACCCCCACTGTTTTATAGAGAGATTTGTGCTATTGGGCATGCATGCTCACCAGAGAGACAGAGAGACAGAAAGCAAGAAGTCACCCTCCAGGGGGATGGCCACTCCAAAACCCCTTCTCCTCCATTCTCCTCTTGGGATCTTGGGCAAGCACACACACATGCCTGGAGTGAGTTTTACTTCACTGGGTCTGGGACTTGAACTACGGTCAACTATGTGGGAGTCCAGTGACATAATCATTACACCATCTGCTGGTTCTGAGAATGTTAGTAATTCTAACATAACTTAAATGGTTGATAATATGATTACTTCATATCACTCAGCTCTTAAAAGATTAGTTATGTATATACATGGATATAGCATAAATGCTTTAAGTCAGAATTTTAAAAAAATTTTTGGAGAGGTTTTCTGCTATAGGGTGCATGCACTCGCCAGACAGACAGAGAGAAACAGAGAGACAGAAAGCGAGAAATCACCCCCCAGGGGAGATGGCCACACCGCAATCCCTTCTCCTCTCGGGATCTTGGGCACACACGCACACGCGCCCAGCATGAGTTTAAGCCATCAGGTTCAGGACTCGAACCTTGGTCAACTACATGGGAGTTCAACAACATAGCCATCACACTAACTGTGGTCCCCTTAAGTCTGGATTTTAAGGTCTGTTAGTTGTTCTACCTAAAATTTTGAGAATCTGGAGGTAAATAAGCTCAGTACTACTGATCAGAAATAATATTTTAAAACATAGTTTGCTAGTGAACTAATACAAAATGACCATTATTTTAAAGCAAATACCTACCAAGCATCTGGTTTTTTTAACTTTTTATCTGTAAGTATAGATTTACAGAAGTTGCAAAGGTAGTACAGAGAGATAGCATGTACCCCTCCCCCAGTTTCCTTTAAGCAATCTTGCATAATTATAGAACAATATCAAAATCAGGAAATTGATATAGGAATAACGTGTATTTAGCTTGATGTTATTTTATAAGTTATGGTGTATATGTAGTTGGCAACCAATACTGCAATCAGGATACAAAACAATTATAAATGATTTTATTATTTTCTTAGATAATGTATTATAATTTCAGATAGAAGGCCCCAGACTACTTATTCTACATAGCAGGAAATGAGTATAGGAAGAAATTTTAATACTTAGAAAACTGTTATCTAGCATCATAGTCAAAATGAAATCCTATCAAGAGACAAGATATATCTTAGTTAAATAATTTTCCTACACAAAACAGACAACTCCATTCTTCAACAGTCTGCTCTCCTTAACATGATTATGAGCAATATTTTTCAGTGGTTTATCAAAGACAATTTCTGTATTACTCCAAAACTTTATCAGTGAAAGTCCGAGATGCACACACACACATCTCCTTTCTCAGACCAACAGAGGACTTTACAAGTATCCTTAAGTTACTAATGAAATCACCATAACAAAAGATTATGGTCATAAATATACAGAAACAATGAAATAAATCAACCACATTCTTCCAAGACGAACTGGTTTTATTATGAAGTTTCTTTTTTCCCCATCTAGGAAGTATCAACCAGATTGTTGCAAAACCTGCTTTGCTCTCAGAAAAGAAATATTTGATATCTCTCTCTGTCACACACACACACACACACACACACACACACGGCAATTTAAATGTCAATCTTACCTTGGCCATCTGTGCCTGAACGCCATTTGCCTTGAGAGATGCCACTGCTTTCTGTGCAGCTGCGGGACTGTCAAAATCCACAAAACCATAACCTGTGAAAACACAAAAGCCCTCGTTAGTGTTTACAAGGAGCTGCATCTCTATCATCTTGATGAAACGCAGTCTTAGGATCAGACTACCCTCTTTTCTTCTGACACATAAACCCAGTTACTATGAAGGTTCTCAAATCAGTGATCCTCAATGCTGTATAAAAATATTAACGTAGTAAATTTCATTTTCTAGGAATTGCTTTTCAGATTGGTGTACCGTCAGTAACTTAATTCAGATTAATTTGATAAGATAATACACCGACTGTCTTCCACGTTCTTCAGGGGAATTGCTATAAGAATGAGAACAAATGCTGGAAAATATAGAAAAATATATCTGTAAAGTTAACTTTTGAAATCTCAAAAATTGGGACCAGCAGTTGGGGTAATGGCTATGTCGCTGGACTCCCATGGAGTCAACCACGGTTCGAGTCTCGGACCCGGTGGCTTAAAATCACACTGGGCACGTGTGCGTGCATGGCCAAGATCCCGAGAGGAGAATGGAGGAAAAGGGATTGTAGCATGGCCACCTCCCTGGGGGGTGATTTCTCGCTTTCTGTTTCTCTCTTTCTGGCGAGCACATGTGCCCTATAGCAAAACCTCTAAAAAAAAAAAAACAAAAAAAAAAACTCAAAAAAACTGATATTGATAAAATAAAAGCTATGATAAGAACTTAGGTAAGGTTATCCCCAGCAACTGCAATAGTGCCTGGCACACAGTAGGTGCCTTAGTCCATTCAGTAGTTCTCTAACAGACTACCTGAGACCGGGTGATTTTGAATGAAAAGGGGTTTTTGTGGCTCACAGTTCTGCAGGCTGGAAAGTCCACAGGTGGGGATGCCAGCATCTGCCTGGCAGTGGCGAGGCCCACGTGCTACTTCACCCTGGCAGACAACCGCCTTGCCTTATGATAACCAGCTCTCATGGAAACTGGTGGGGAGAACTCGCTTCCTCCCTGGAGAGGGCCTTTATCTTTTCATGAGGGATCAGCCCTCCTGTTCAAAACGCCTCCCACTAGGCATCATATTTCAACATTGTTCCATTGGGGGTCCTGTTACAGCATAGGTTTTGGTGGAGACACTCCAGTAACAGCTGTAGGCACTCAATAAACACATTGACTTGTGAATGAATAAAGGTTGTGATGAGAGTTAGGGTTTGAGCCTAGTTCCACTTGATTATGAAGCCCAGGCTTCTTCATTACAGTACCTAATCTCAATAATAACATCTTATTAAATAAACTATGTTGGCTCTTAAGTGATCTGTGATAATGATTAAATAGATAAATATTCAAGCTTCTATTAAAAATAAGAAACAAACACTTGTGTCCCTTATGAGTTACTGGAACACAGTCTGAAAAGGGCATAAGAGTTGCCTGTACTGCCCTGATTGTGTGCATGGGTGGGTGTGTATATAGGTAAGGCTAAACAAATAGGTAATAAAAGAGTCAATGAAAAGGGAGTTTTTCATGCCCTCCAGCTAGCTGGTATTAGTCCAGGGCTTAGCCTAACAGCATTGACAACTGCCAAGAATATTTCAAAATGTAAGTGCTCAAGAATGAGCATGAGGGCAGCTTTGTTTGGCGTGCCTAAAAAGTCTCCCATATGAATCCTCTACCTCTTCTCATCTGTCAGGAAGGAATTTGCTCTGTACTCTCATTCTTGTCTCATTTAGAAGTTGTGAGACAAGGCACTGAGGCAAACCTACTAACCATGCACTATGACCCTCTCCCAAACCCCACCCCACCAAATAACCAAAGTAGAGTAAAAGGGAATTCAATTATCAAGTTGTTTCTTTTAATTAACTTTTTAATTTTCTCCCCTCGAATCCCGTCTTCTTTTTCTCCCTCCCAGCATGTTATCCTAAAATGAACTTGTTACACAGCAGTGTACCATAAAATGCTCTTGAAAAGCTAGGCAGAGAAGCTGTGAAGTTTGTATTTCTAATCCACAAAGAAGTCTGTTCTCTAAGTACTGCTAATTCTTCTCTTCCCACAAAATTTAAACTATGTAGGTAATATGAGTATTACCACCCACCAGGGTGAGTAAGATAGGACAAAGGGCAGGAAGAAGTAGAAAAAGTGGACAAGTAAAATTAGCTGGATAGGAAAGTAAAACTAAAATTGAGTCATTATCTTTCATGTATCAGCTGCCGTGTTGAGTGGTTGACATATTGACACTTGGTGAATCATCATAATTTCAGGTACTATCGGCCTCATCTCCATTTTATACGCGAAGAATCTGAGGCCAGGTGAGGTGATACAGCTGGAAATCACAAGAAACTTGCTACAGTTTAGATAATAGTTTGTCCCTCCAAGTTCATTTTTGGGGATTTAGTCCTTATTGTAATAGTGTTAGGAAATGATGAGATTTGTAAGAGGTAAGGCCTTGTAGACAGTGATTAAACCATGCAGACCACTCTCATGATTCGATTAATGATGTCTCCCAAGACCCAGTGAGTTTGAGCATTCATGAGAAGGGGTTAGTTCTCGTGAGAAAAGGTTGTTTTAAAGGGAAATGACTGGCACCAGGTCTCTTTGTATGGACACATTTGCCATTTTCTTTTCTTCTGTGAGCCATGTTGTGATGCAACCATCCTGATATGAGCTTCATATCTCTAAACTTTCTTTTTTTTTTTAATTTGTTTTAGATTTTGGCCACAGGGAACATGTGCTTGCCAGAGAGAGGGAAAGTGAGAAATCACTCCTCAGTGAAGGTTATCATGCGGCAATCACTTTTCCTGTGTTCTCCTCTCAGGTTTTGGGCATGTGCATACATATGCCCAGTGTGATTTTTCAAGTCACCAGATTCAAGACTCAAAACAGAGTTGGCCATGTTGGAATTCAACATCTTAACCACTACTCCATTTGCTGGCCCTCACCTCTGAACTTTCCAGCCACTGTGATCATAAGTCAAATAAACCTCTATTCTTTTGAACTCAACTAGTTTCAGGCATGTATGTTAGCAATACATTATTGGATTAAGATATTGCTTAATTTGCAGATCCAGGATTTGAAGCTAAGTCTATATCCTTGCATATACACTATATGATTAACTGTTTTATAATCTCACTTTGTGAACTACTTCTAGTAGCCTCTGAAGCCAACCAGAGAGAGAACTCAATTCTGAAAAAGTTCTTGTATTTTGAAGTTAGGACATAGAATACAATGATTCCATAAAAGGATTTAACCCAGCGTAGTCAGTCAGTATGTTTGTTAATGGAGTGACTGAATTCTCAGTAGAACTTTCTAAATGAAGTTTGGACAGGCACCAATTTCCACCTGATGCTTTGGTCATTTTTTCTCTTTCACTCATAGGCTCATTCACTTTTTTAATGATGAAATTCCAGAGACAGCCCTGTAGCCTAGTGATTAAGGGTGCCAGACCACACATGGCCAACTGTGGTTCAAATCCTGGCTCTGGTGGCTTGAAAAACACTCCAGGCATGTGTGTGCATGCTCCAAAATCCCAGCAGGGTAAAGAAAAGTAGAGGGGATTTTGGCATGACCACACCCTTTTGTTTGATGCTTTATCCTTCTGCTCTTTCTCTGTCTGACTCTCTGTATGAGCATATGTACCCTTGAACAATTTTTAAAAAAAATTCTGAATTCTGTAGGCACTGTGCCAAGCCAAGCCCAGGGTATATAGTGGTTACAAAAATAGTCCAATTCCCCACTTTTCACTTGGACATGGGAAATGGACACGAAGAAAATAACCACATGAATAAACTTGTAATGACAAAATGGCATGTCTTTCCTGAAAGAAAATGAAAGTGTATCTTATAGACTCTAACTACTGAATGTTCGTTTTTGAAGTACTGGCTTAAAAATATGATCTTCGTGGGATTGAATAGTTGTGGGGTCGGTGGGCAGCAAGAGTAGACTCGGGCAGTTGATGTAGGGCCTACTGCAGTGATCCAGAGGAATGGCAGCCAGCAAAGGGAAGGATGGAGTAAAATGAACCATTTGAGTTATGTTCTGGAGGCAGAATGAGAAGGACTTGCTGATGGATTGATTGAGTAGGGAGTAAGGGAGATACATATGACAAGGATTATTGCTGTTCTTTTGCCACAAGCCACTGGCTGAGTGGAGATGTGATTTACTGAAATGGGGAGTCTGAAAGAGGAGCCAACAGGGGAGAGAAAAAATTAAGTATCAGTTTGAGGCACCTTGCGTGCGAAATGCTTGTGAGAGATCTAAGTAGAAATGTCAAGGCACAGTTGGACATAGTAGCCCAGTGCTCAAGCAGGGATGGAATTGGGAATATAAATGAGGAGGGCAACAGCATAAATAATTGAGAGACTGAAAGAGACAAAAATGCTTAAAGTCAGTATAAGAAAAGGCCCCGTTGGGGCCAGCAGGTGGTGTGGTGGTTAAGGGTGCTGGGTTCCCACATGGTTGACCGTGGTTTGAGTCCCGAACCTGGCACCTTGCTTTCTCGCTTTTCCTCTTTGTCTCTCTCTCTCATACTCTGTTCCTCTCTGGTCAAATTAAAACAAACAAAATAAATAAATAAAATAAAGTTAAATAAAATAATTTAAAAAAAAAAAGAAAGGAAAGGCTCAGGTTTAGAACTTGAAGCACTTCAACATTTAGGTACCAGATGAGAAGATGAGATTTGCACAGAAAGCTAAAAGAGACACCGAGAAGGAATCAGGATGTCTCCAAAGTAAGGTAAGAACATGTTCCAGGAAGAAAAGTGAGCTCAGCTGTGTCAAATGCGACAGAGTGTGTGAACAAGGAGAGGGCTTGAAAATGCCCACCATCACCATGATGTAAGAGGTGAGGACTGGGGTGTGCTTGGGGAGCTGACAGATAACAGAAAGATGAGATGGTGTAGTCAGGGTTCACAGGCCTCTTTGCAATGATCTTGGCTGGGAAGGAGAATGAAGAGAGGTGGAGTTTGCAAAGGAGATAATCGCAACTGACTTCTTTTTGTTCATTTGTGTTTTTTGTTGTTGTTTGTGGTCGTTGTTTAGGTGTTTGCCAGAGGGCATGTGTGCTCTCCAGAG